GCGTTTAAACATTCTTTGTGGGCCTCAAAGTGAGCACGGTGCCCATGTGCCTTGCAGGGCAATGTTTTTTTGAAAGAGCTTTGTTGTGAGGGGTTTATTTTTGGGAATGAGATGAGGTGGAGAACATTATGGGGAGGTGGCGTGGAAAGAAAAGGGAAGCTGACCAATTATCAGGTCTGTCTGACTGGCAGTGATGATGGGAAGTAGTTGTGCCATGTAAAGCTGGAGGGTCTGAAGTGCCTGTCTAAATGTAAGCCCATCCAGGAGACATGTTTTTTTTAAAGGGTTGTTGATTTACAGCTCTAAAAGCTGAGGAATTCCACCGCTTCAGGCATGGTAAGGTTACTTGACCTGTGTTTAAGTTTGAGGATTACAAGCAGCTCCCCCATAGCAAACGGTCTCGACGGCCTGTCAGTGTCTGCCAATCCCAACTGTCACTAGACGCTCTTCTGACAGTCTCTGCGTCCAAACAAATTACTCGCACAGACAATAAAACTTCGTTCACCACTAAACATAGCACATTTCAGGGTCATAAATAGGGTAACCCTTGTGCAGTCTAAGAATTCTGTATGCAGTGTGTCCTACTGTTTAAAAATGACCCGCTTTCACTAAACCTTTAAAATGAAGCAGCAAAATTTAATTTAAATTCTTCAAATCTTCAAACTGCTTTTAAAAAGTGCACAGGTCATTTTTGAATCAGGGCGGATAAGATATATATATATATATATATATATATATATATATATATATATATATATATATATATATATATATATATATATATAAATAAATAATTTTTTTTCTTTTTTTTCTTTTTTTTCTTTTCTAAACTGCCTTCAATTAAGTGTCATTAAATTGGTAGTATAAGGCAAAAATTTTTAAAAAGTTACAAAAAGGTAAAAACTCTTAAATTAAATTAGAATTAAGCACTTAATTTCATAATAGTTTATAAGATATAATTAACATATAACATATTGTGTCATTTTGTCTATAATAAACCAACACGGTTTTTAGTTACAATACTCATAGTTACAAAGTCATTCTGCATAAATCCGCAGATTTTTTTACAAAATTCTCAGCAGAAATAGCAAAAAATGTCCGCAGATTCTGTCTGGTCCAAATAAGTGACAGTTATTCAGGGGTGCATTTCCGAAAACCATTGTTAGCCAACTAAGATCGCGAGTTGTGTTATTACAAAGATAGTTGGTTGATTTGGCATTTTCCAAATCCGTCATTCCAACGAACATTCGTTGTGTTCTATTCCCAGTTATCCCCCCTATGCCCTATTCGTTTAGAACATTTTAACATTTAAACTTGGATTTTTTAAATTATTTTTTTTAAAGCACCAAAGTCATCACTCTTAGATGTAATTTGCTTTCAAAGTATTTTTACAGTTCAGTTTTATATGACATGAGCCTGCTGGTTAGAAAATTTCTGCAGTGGTTTGCATGTGACAAATTGTAAAAGTAGACTTAAAAAAAAATAAAATAAACAAATAACATAAACAATCTCTTAATAATAATAATAATAATAATAATAATAATAATCATTATTATAATTTTTTTATTTCCTAATAAATAATAAATTAAATTAGATTATTTTCCCAGATATAGATTGAGGCTGGAAAGGCATCCGCTGCACAAAAACGTGATAAATAAGTTGGTGGCTCATTCCACTGTGGCGACCCCGGATTAATAAAGGGACTAAGCCGAAAAAAAAATGAATGAATGAATGAATGAAATTACATTTCTTAAATAAATCGCCTCATTATTTATTTATTTGATTTATATATGATATTAGAATATGTGTTAGCTTTTGTAAATTATTTTATGTTTCATAATAGATTATGGAATATTCGCAATAATATTTGTAAAGGAAACATAGGCCAATTTAAATTAATATTGAAAACGAGTGCATGTTTTTACCAAAACTAATATTGGATTTTTTTAATGCATGTGCGTGTAAAACAATATAATTTGCACAAAGAAATTAAGGAGTTCTTCTTTAAAGAATAATATCACCCCCGTTTAAGAGCATCAGTATGTTTTTTTTACGTTATAACTAACATGGTTTAAATAATGGATCTGCGAAAGAGAAACAACGGGTTTTAGGAAACACTCATCACTACATTAATATTAATATCATACTATAATAGTTCAACCGCAAGTTGCGTCACTGTTTGGGAAACGCACCCCAGGTCAATAGACTTTGTGTATTTTTATTTTTCTGACTCAAAATACATAACAAAACTACACTGAAAAAAAATTAGTTCTGCAAAATTGTTGCAAACAATTTATATGGGTTGAATTTAAACAAACTAATTAAATTAAATTAAATTAATGAAATTAAATTAATCAAATAAATTGTTTACAGCCACTTAAAAAAAAAAAAAAGTAAATTCAAGGAATCATCTTTGAATGATTCTTTTCAGTGTACTCAGCTGATTGGAAAAAAGTCTGTAATTTGGACTAAGGCAGGCGTTTAAAGAGTAGAGCGGGGCATGGAGGGTGTCCGTGGGCAAAGGAAGTCTGTAGCACTTCCCATGTCCACCCTTCTCCTTATCAGCTCTCTCATTAGAGATGACACCGCGTATATGCGCGCGACAGGCTGCCCGCGGTGCTTGCCGAGAGTCCACGGCAGGAGGGATGAGAGAGGTGCTGGGAAACTCTCTAATTGGGATCCATCAAAGGCAGATATTCTGGCCGCCTCTCTTGCACCCGCACTCTACATCACTCTTCCCATAACAAGCTCCAGTGATCTCTATCAACTTATATGACATGTAATGGGCAGAAAATCATGCCAGCTGGGCGAGTATGAGAAACAGTATGAATGATTTCTGGAAGACCAAGTCTTGGCTTTGAAGCACAAACACAGATTTGGGTCTTATTCCGTCAAGTCAATGGTTTACACCTCTGTCAATGGTTTACACCTGGTATTAAGATGTGTTTTGGTAGATTTGGATTACAAGGAGACGAAGAATAAATGTTTATGTTTGTTAATCTGACCTGTTTTAATCTGCTTTAGACCACTTTCAATCTAATGATCACTTGTGTGATGAACATATGAAAGAGTAAAAAGACAACAAAAAATAATATGTAGAAAAGCGTAAATAATATCTTTAATCTACACTGTGATTTCAAGAATTTTGTATCTTTACAATGTCACTAACTCACTCATGGCCATCTAAAAAGCAGAAGAGGAAAAGAAAATGAGGAGAATCTGAATGGCCAATTAGTAACTGGTTAATGATATACATACATAGATATACAGTTGAAGTTAGAATTATTAAACCCCTCTGAATTATTACACCCCCCCCCTCCCCTGTTTATTTTTCCCTCAATTTCTGTTTAACGGAGAATATATTTTTTCAGCACATTTCTAAACATAATAGTATTAATAACTCATTTCTAATAACTGATTAATTTTGTCTTTGCCCTGATGACAGTAAATAATATTTGACTAGATATTTTACAAAACACTTCTATAAAGCTTTAAGTGACATTTGAAGACTTAACTAGGTTAATTGGGTTAACTAGGCAGGTTAGGGTAATTAGGCAAGTTATTGTATAACGATGGTTTGTTCTGTATCAAAAAATATATATAGTTCAAAGAGGCTAATAATTTTGACCTTAAAATGTTTTTTTTTAAACCTAAAAACTGCTTTTATTCTGGCTGAAATAAAACAAATAAGACTTTTTCCAGAATAATAAATTATTATCAGACATACTGTGAAAATTTCCTTGCTCTGTTTAACATAATTTGGGAAAAAAAAAAGGTGGGGGGGGGGGGTGGGGGGGGGGGGTTAATAATTCAGATTTAAACTGTAGATATATGTGTGTAAATATACCAAATCATTTTTAAACATATATTTTTGGTGTTCATATTTTGTATGATTACAGTTGAACTACTAAAGTCACATGGACTGTTTTAACAGTGTTTTAGTCGCTTTTACTAAAGAATTTAATCTAAAATAACTTAATTTGTGTTCCAAATATGAATGAATGATTGCGTTTACATGGACACCAAAAATCTGATTTTACGTAATTTGATAAAGACAACACTCTGATTAAGAGTCTACAATGTAAACAGCAATTTTTAAATAATTTAATCCAATTAAAGCCATAGTCAAACTTAAATGAAATCTAATTAAGACATGGAGTATGCCGATTTTAGATGCATTATTGAAGTGCTGTACAAACATATAAACACCTCAAACTATTACCATAGTGAAGGATTTTCGCCGCACTTTGCAACAGGTAAGTCTATACACACGGCTGTTTGACACTATTCTCTGCACCTACCGAGTCAGTGAAGGACAACAGACACCTGCATCATGAAATGCGAAGGTTTTTTCTCCCCATACGGTGTGCTGTATCAAATTCCATTAAAACAACTCTCCCAGCAGTTCATACGGGCATCCAATATGTTGTTTGTCATAGGGGACATGCATGAAATGTTCCTGAATGAATGTAAAACTGCAAAACTGCAGTTAAAGTCGACAAATTAAAAATTAAACATGTAAAATTACTTGAAACTCCGGAGGAATTCTGAATAGCACAGTGACGCAATGACGTTAATCAATTATGTGTTATAACATGTAAAACAGGATAATGAAAGGAGCATTCAAAAAGCAACTTATGTAAACACCTTAATCATATTATTGTCTTATTCAGACTAAGGCAAATAATTTGATTACTGAGGTCCACGTAAACATAATCAATGTCTCAGCAGATTAGTAAATAATTAACAACATTTTCATTTTTGGGTGATCCTGAATGATGACGATTACATTTTTTAAATATAAATTGTTCTCTAACATGAATCTCATTGTGTACGAGCATAAAAAAACATAAACCTAATGAGCTGGCTCTGGAAAAAGCATCTGGCAAATGCATAAATGCAAATGAAAACAAAGAAAGCAAGCTAGTCAGGCAGCTTCTACTTTGCGTTTGCAAGATTTTTGTAGAAATGTTGATTTTGCGTTTGTGTACGCATCCCACCTGTATCTCCAGCTGTTGAACGACCTGCATCTGGACCCTGCACTGGGCCGTACTGCGATCATCCAGGGCGTGTTCACTATTCAGGTGCCTAAGAGAGAGAGAGAGAAATGCAAACATGTGATGACATATCCTGATACACAGTCTACTAGATCAATCCACGACCCTATCTAAACTCCCACAGGGAGATCTGTAAGCATATTTGGACCATCTGCCACAAACCGTGTCGCTGACCTGCCTAATACAGCGCACACGTACACACAAACACACACTGTACGGCTGTGTCTGAGCCTTTTGGGATCATCTCGCAGTTCGTGCCGCGTACGGTAACGTGTTAACACTACATGCCCGGGTGTCACGTCTTGACAGCACTCACACTTACATTCAAATGCAGAGGTCAGCAAGGCAATCGAGCTCTAGTTTCAGCATCTTGACAAATCACGCAAATAACCACTTCAAAACACAAGGACAGACAGTTGTTTATTTTTCCATTTTGGAGAAGAAATATTTAATGGAATCCTCTCGGGATCAGAGCGGCCCTCTCAGAGGAAACCCCTAACAATAGTGGATTTCCACTTGAAAACACACTTTTCACTAGGCGTATAAACTCAATTTCCTCTCGCAAGAAAATAAAAACAATATTACAACATGAAAGATGTGGAAAGAGAGGTTTTCCGCTGAGGATTGTGTCATATGAATGACCGTACTGTTTGAGGAAAGTGTTGTATTTTATTTATTGTCAGAGCGTGTTTATCGTCGTTCATCGGAGGAGATGAAAATAACTTTAGACACAAACGTCTCGCTATATTAGGTCTGAATGAGTGTCCTAATGTCTCTGTTATTCAGTTGCAATGCAGCTGGAGTGGGATATTATTTTGGAAACGGTTTTGTTTTTTTGTCAGAAAGCGCCGCAGGCCATGAACTCTTGAGTGGGAGTTGAAAAAGAAGAAGAAGAAAAAAAAAAAACACCTGGATATGACTTCATTTGTTTTACTCATCAAGTGCTGCTTTAGATGGGTGAGCTTTGCCCGTAGTCATTCGAGTTATGTTTTCTTTATGAAGCAATCCAAAATAAAACTCCAAAACAAAGCAAAACAAACAGATGATGCAGAGCTGAGAACTGAATGGGGAAGCAAAACTGAAGAAAAAACAGTTTAAAGGAACGGTGTCATCTAGGACACAAAGATGGGTTGTTGGATCTTCCCTTTACACCATCTGTCTCATTCCACCCGTCTTATTTACAACTTTCCCATGCTTGAAATCACACGGATGCACCCCTGCGCGCATATAAACACAATTCTATAATCCATAAAACATCCAAACAGTGATGTCATTAATCCCTCCAGGTGTAGAAGCAGCCCCTCCCACCTTCCAAAAACACACCTGGTGATATTTAATAACTGTGAGGTCAAAGGTCATCGGAGCCTCATGGAAGATACGAGTAGAGGAACCGCAATGATCTCTTTCAGTTATTTTAGTATCCATTCATTTTCTTTTCAGCTTAGTCCCTTTATTCATCAGGGGTCTCCACCGCCAGCTTATCCAGCATATGTTTCACGCAGCGGATGCCCTTCCAGCTGCAACCCATCACTGGGAAACATCCATGCAGACTCATTCATATACATACAATTTTTAGCTTACCATATTCACCTATACCATATGCCATTAAACTGTGAGGGGAACCGGAGCACCTGGAGGAAATCCACAACAACACGGGGAGAACATGCAAACTCCACACAGAAATGCCAACTGACCCAGCCGAGGCTCGAACCAGCAACCATCTTGCTGTGAGGCCATCGTGCTACCCACTGCTCCACCATAAGGCCCATTTTAGTGACCTTCAGACACAATTGTTGTGAATTAGTTTGAAACTTTTTTGACAATTTTATTGATCTGTGTTTAATATATAACCCGTCTTTCATATGAGACCTTAAACTGAGGTCCTGACTCTCTGTGGTTATTAAAAATCCCATGGCACTTCTCGTAACGAGTAAGGGTGTAACTTCAGTGTCCTGGTCAAATTCCCTCCATCAGCCCTTACCTATCATAGCCTCCCATCCACCGAATTGTCTCTCTCTCCACCTATAGTTGGAGTGTGGTGAGCACACAGGTGCCATTGTCCTGTGGCTGCCATCGCATCATCCAGGTGGATGCTACACACTGGTTGTGGAGTGGAGAGACCCCCCTTGTGATTGTGAAGTGCTCTAACTGTATGACCAAACACGATAAACAAGCTATATAAATACTTTACATTACATAACTATATTATATTTTTTTAATTAACTACAATAAAATATAATTATATATTTGTTCCAGACTTATAATAATATGATAAACAATATGATAGTTTTAGTACAGTTTAAGAGATTTAAGTTATAAGCAGGGTCATGCAGAATCAGGAGACTGTGCTATTTCTGCACTGAATTTGGTCAAAGTGATTTTTAAATTGATTTTTTGCTAAAAGTTGAGTAATTTTGAGTGTATATGAGGTAAAAACCTAACATAAAATACTAATAAAGTAGTAAATCAAAATAAAACGTTTATTTCAATTTTGCAATCTAATTAGAACTATTTAGATCTATGTTTGGTAAACAAAGGTTTTTATATAATACGTGCACAAAAAGACCATTACTAGAACATTACTCTACAAATTATAATGTGCATCAATTATCAAACCATCTGCATATTGATCAATAACATCACTGAAATTAATATAAACACGTGTACATAAGTAAATAAATAGACTAAACGATGGGTTTAAAATTCAATAGATTTCTGAGAGCACAAATCCCAAATGGGCCTAGTTGTCAGCATTGGCTGATATAAAATTTTAATTGTGCATACAAAATTCTCATAATCTTAGAATAATTCTGCCATAAAAGGTAAAATAAAATAAAACATATATCACTTATACTTCTTACACATTACTGTTTGTTACATAAATAGTTCATTATTTATTTAATATTATATATCAGCAAACTCTAATCCTAACCATATGACAAACACATGTTAATTATAATATTATTGAATACCGAAATGTATAATAATAAGGCAAAAAAGACGGCTTGAAATAATGTAACCAAAAATTTGAACATCAGTAAGCCACAAGACGGATATAACTCAGCTTATCGCATCAGACAGAATTTGAATTGCGGTCCAGTCAGACTCATCCGACACCTTTAATCCTGCATTTTTAGCATGGATGGTCCACTGTGTTCAGTTCTCCATTCACATGATGGGACGATGACAAACAGAAGTGTGTTCAAGCGCCATATTTTTAACCTTCGCCATACAAACTCATCCCAGCCTGCTTTATCTCTGTGACACCCACTACATGAGCGTTTTGAGTGTCCGTCTGAATGAAAAGAGGGGTGCGCATTCACTCTCCCTCATGAGAAATTAAACAAAAACAATGATGTCACCCACTCGACTAATCCAGGCGCAGATAGACATTTTTCCCCGCAAGCACATGATGATAATAACAAAAACATGATCTCATCTTACTCTCCACAGCCCCCCGTCTTTCTGAATAAAGGAACAGACCACAAGTTTTATGGTTCATAATAAACAGTAGCAGCATTTTTCGGAGAGACCCGACAATGAGGCAGTGTTTACTCCCTGCACCCCGACAGGGATTTGAGGAGCATTTACAACGGTCACAGAAAGAAAAAAAAAAGTCACAAGCCGGGCCTCAACAAAGGCCTTGAGTATTCTAACACATGTCGTCCTGGCATGCCAGAGAAAATTGTACATCATTAAAGAGCTCAGGACGGGAAAGAGCGTGTGTGCGTGTGTGAGTGAGAGAGACAGGATGAAGATTAAGAGTGAATGAGTGTTTTATCATTCTCACACTACTCTAGCGAAAGAGAAAACAAGAGATCGAGATTTCGTCAGGGGATAAAAAGTGGTCATATTATGTCCAGATGAAACTGACAGACTATATGTATTTTTTCAGTATTTTCTGCACTGATTTAAAGGGGGAATCTGTGAAAAGGATTTTTAAAATTATGATGAAACAGCATAGAATACTAAACTCTTAATGGCTGTTCACACGGGATGTTTTATGCATTTGCCGTTGCATATAGTTTTTCCATTTGCTAGATGTTCTTTTGCACGAGTTCCCCAAAGCAAAGTTTAAGTTTGAAATGTTTAAAATAAAATAAAAAAAAAATAAATAAAATTAAATTAATAAATAAAAAATAAAAATAAAATATATAATTGAATAAAAATTGTATAAATAAAGATTTATAAAAATATTAAAAATAATAAATAAATAATAATAAATAAAATAAATATTAAATTAATAAATAAAATAACATAGAATTAAAACAACTGAAATAAAAATAATAAATAAAATAAATAATAAAATAAAATAAAAAATAAAATATTAGTTAGTGTTTCATGACTGTGACTCCCTACTGCAACAAGGTAACTTAATTGAAAACCTCCACCTATCACATTTAAACACAGCAACAATGAAAAAAAGGACAGATTCCATATGAACGTCCCCTTATAGCAAGCTGAAATCCTTATTAAATTACCCAAAATGAACACAAACTGGGTGAGGGATATGTGGCGCTTTGTGAATGGCGGGCGCTCGTTTAGCGGGCACCGATTCCATGTGGGCCTCATTTCCTACTATAAGTGGCAGGCAGCCAGATGGGTCTATAGAATAGACAAAAAGAACAGAATGAGAGAGAGAGAGAGAGAGAGAGACTCCTCTCTTTTCCTGTCTTTAGCGATGACTAAAGTGTTCTGACTAGGCCATGGTGCACGGCAATATCTGTCACCCCCTCCCTTCTTATCTCCCACCTCTCGCGCCTTCTCCGCTTGCCCCGCGGCTATGTGAAATGAGACACCGCGCAACCAAACAACAGCTTTACTCTTAAAACTTTCCCAGACTCTCCGGCTCTTTGATGTGCGTGTCAGCGGCCATCATACGCGCACCGAGCACGCTCTTCACCCCCCCTCACCAGGGATGAGTGGAGGAAATTTACATACACATCTTTCCGGCCTGTCAATACAGTGGTCCCCTCGAGGAAGCGTAGCCCTGGAGTCAAAAGACAACACGAGGACCCTGGAAATAAACAA